CAGGGAAATCTACTTGTTTTCAATAGATGTGTGTAGTTAATTACTTTGTATTAATAATAACAACAGTATGTGTAAAGGAAGCTGGAAATATACAATGTGAAACCTTTTATTTGAAGTAAAGATGTGAACAATAGCTCAAATGGCGGGAAGGGCTGTAGGACAAATGAGTGTGTTCTCTATATTAGGCCTGTGTGAAGTTTGACTATTTGAAAAGCATCTCTAATACTGCTTAAGAGCATAGGTAATGTGTTCTTCGTTATTATTGATATGAAAGTGATTTACATGTATTACGTATATTTAGCCAACTATAACAACTATATCTTAAAACATACTTTTAACTTGTGTGTGGTAACCTGAGGGGGGAAGATGGACTCAGGGACAAAGGGCCATAAAGGGGATGTGTCAGGGGTTCATTTACTCTGCCAAATATTTCCAGTCAATTTCCGTAGTTTCGAGTCCTAAATCTAGTTCAGTACTGTACATAGTTTTAGTAGTAGTGTACAATAAGTAAAGAGTGAGGGTAATTACTATATTGTTATTTTTCCAACTTACGGAGAAGGAATTGTTCCGTCTTCCCTCATAGTAACATACAAATGAACACGAAGATGACGTTTTGACCGTATGCATGAAGGACGAGTATATCAGATGTAAATTTACTAGTGGACTTTAAGTCCGTGTCCTTTACAATGTACGGGTTACTGTGTACTTGAACGGTAAGAAAATAGAATGAACGTTGTAAGGATTTTCTATTTGCAATAGAAACGGTGTGTAAACGGTTTCAACTTATGACACCCACTTACTAGACAGGAGCGAGGCAGAGTGTTGTGTTGACACACAACGAACAAAACAATGAACTGTGTGTACAGGACAGAGACCTTTTTCTCGCAGACTAGGAGTTCTTTGATGATCCTAATTTTTTTGTTAAATTTCACTCCCTCTCTGTAGAAAAGGTCCCCGGTGTGTGATTCCATATCTTTCCATTGGTTTGTTTACCAATGGTGAAATGTTATTCTGATTGGGAATATTCCCAGTATTTCCCAAATATTAATCCAATAATTAATCCAACATTTGTAAAATAATTAGGTAATTCTTGGTAAATATTGTGTCAAGATTGTATCAAAAGTATGTAGTTGTGTCCGAGCTGATAAACCGTTCTACTGAATGTCGGAACCTAGTAACCGATTGGATCGAATGACAGAAGAAGTTAGTGGTTGTAGGAACCATAGACAACCAAGTGACTCAACTAAGGGGGGGAAGGTAAGAACTTACAAAGAACCGTAGCAGAAAAGTAACGCTCGGTGGACAACCTCTAAACCTTCGGACAATTTTGGTTGTGAGGCAAGGGCCGTGTAGAGCAAGCGTACAGCGAAAACCATTCGACCATTGTAAGGCAGTTCCTTCCCTAATTCTTTGTGGTCTTAAAGTTCAATTTGTTATTAGAACAAAATTACTATGTTCCATGTGTTATGTTTATCGTTTCCTTCAGTGAAGGAGAGAAGAGGACCAGAATGAGAGGACCAGGTCGGACTTCTTTTTTCTCTAGCTTGGGTTTCCTTTTGTGGTCCGAAAGTATAATTTTTGTGTTCTTTCCTTCCACCACACGCACGAAAGGGGGGTCTCCGGTCGTCCAGTAGAATTAACCGCTCTCTGGGTTGTGTACCGGACAGCGGTGGGTTAGTCACGCTGTGTCGTCTTCTTTGGGCCTTTGTTTTTCAGAGAAAGTAAAACTGCTTCTGGTCTGTGTAAAACACAGACCATGGCTGGACGAGGATTTGTGTTCAAAGGAATAGATAAAGTGTAGAACGTCG